GACCCACACTTCTTTGGGAGATCACAACACAACCTTGCTCCTTTTGGACATATGTTATGACATCATACATATGTACAAAACAGTGGTATATGCACCATACCACCATTTGTCAGTCTATCATCTTACACCATGTTATTTGTTGCTAAATATTTTTATTGTTTATAAAATTTATAGGACGCCCATTTTACCTCAAGGTAACCATGTTGTTGTTAGTTGTGAAGTTGTGTCCAACCCATCGTGATCCCATGGACAATGCTCCTCCAGACCTTCCTGTCCTCTACCATCCTCTGGAGTCCATTTAAGCTCATGCTGACTCCATTCAGCCACCTCATTCTCGTTGTTCCCTTCTTCTTTTGCTCTCAATCTTTCCCAGCATTAAGCTCTTCTCCAGTGAGTCCTTCCTTCTCATTAGGTGGTCAAAGTATTTGAGTTTCCTTTTCAGGAAACTGGCCTTCTAAAGAGCAGTCAAGGTTGATCTCTAAGTTTGACCGGTTTGATCACCTTGCAGTCCAAGGGACTCAAGAGTCTTCTCCAGCACCATAGTTNCAATAGTCGCACAACCATACATGTCGAGAGGGGAGGGAATGGATGCCATTTTGTCATCTCATGTGGCAGGGAGGGACTAAATATTGACTAAATAGATGCACCCAGATGAGCAGCAGAATGTCTACAACAGTCCCAAGAGATAAAAAGGGGCAAAGAATTATATTGTGAAAACATTCCCCTTCTGCTATATTAAACGCGTTCTACTCAGATCTGTATAAATAATGAAATTTAGTAGGGGAAGGACCTGTGAAGACCTGATGGGGATTAAAATGATTTAACTCTTCAATAGTTATTATTGGGGTATAGGTCAAGACACTTAGCACACAGTAGACATCTAAGTATTATAATTGTCCTATCATAATAATAACATCTGGATGGTGCTAATGGACATTTGCCTGGACTTAATTTGTGGGCATGGTTGCGTTTTTATTATTTGCAAATGTAGACACACATCTTCTGTAAGAATATGTGCACTGATAGATGTGAAGTCCACACATGAAGATCCAATTAAACGGATTTATTGTTGCCCATGCCTATGCATGGGAATCTTCTCAACTAACGGTTAAAACCTGCTTGAAGTAACATAAGAGTCAACAGAATTCAAGAGAGGTTTGACTTAGTTTGCTTGTGTCTATGTAGGGATTCTAGGCTGATCTCTCTTTTAATTCCACCCACAGTTTCTGCCACTCTCTCCTATTTGTGCATATTATATGCCTGTGGTGGTATACAATTACTTTCATAGAAAAACTTATTTGTGCCATATTTTTAAGCAAGCACTTTATATGTATTAAATATTGGTTCCTCTAGAAGCAAGAGCATACCATCACTGATTATCTGACCCTGTTTTCAAATTTTTTTCCTTCTGAAAAATAAACTACACACTAAGTTGTGGGAGATGGATACACTATTTCTATGTACACAGGTGGTAATTCATTCCTAAATCAGCTTTAGTATCTTTCTCAAAGTTCACAGATGCTTTGTTTACAACCAGCAAATGTTTCTGCACAGAAAATTGTGATTTATAGATACCCTAATCCACGGGTGTCCGGCTCGATCGTATCATATGATGTCACATGACATGTCAAGATGGCCTTTTTTTCTTTTGCGGAGCTGGGGTGGGTGTGGCCAGCACTAGCAAACAGGCTGCTAGTTTTTAACACCCCTGACCTAATCAAACTTCAGCTGATCTTCCAGTTTTCACGAAAATAAAAGATGTTGAGGGAAATTTGATAAGCATTACCACTAGGTGGCATGTATTTTTATATAGATTAAACATCACTCTATATTTTCAGACAAGTGAAATTTTTCCAGGCCAAGATAAGCATTGTTAGGAATATAATTTAACGGTTGGGTTGGCAATATATAAATCATGTAACAATGCTATACCTATTTCTTTAAATCATAC